ATTGTACAGTGGCATTAAGTGCCGTAATGTGCACCTCTGCCTACCCCTTCGGGGATAAAAAGGCGTGATGTTATGTTATGTATAACATTACCAGAATTTGTGTTACTAATTTTGCAATTGATAAGCTCATCTACTATTGTATGATGCTGAAACCGAATCCATATCTAATCCGAATGTCAGTTAGACAATGCCGGCCTCATCGTTCGCTTGATAAAATTGACGTCTAAAACTGCTGCCTTGTTGCCTATTTTAAGAAATAAATTCACTTGTTTCACTTGTTTGAATCTGATCTTGCGTATAGTAACTACTTACAACAACTTTACACAGTCATACATAGATATGCATTTGAATTGTAATAAAACATTTCTATAAAACATAATTACAAATGACATTAATCGAGATAAATTCTGTATCTATGTGAGAAATTGAGAAAAACGTGTAATCTATTAGAGACGTTTGTTCTCATGAGTTTATAGCTACAAATAGCTGACATGTTCTAGAATTTTCTTAAATGATTTCTCCAATTATGTGCTTTATGAAGTGAAATTAAATAACATAACATTGTTTTTATAATAACTATCGTGAGACATACTAAATTAACAAAAATCGCGGGTTACTCACGTGAAAACTAAATAAATTTAATTTAAACTATCAAAAACCAAGCGGTCACCGGTGACCGCAACCTATTGTTCTATAATTGTGTCTATAATGACGGTACTCGACGAGTTAATTGATATAGTGTTCTCAACTCAACGCATGCTGTGATGTCCTTCATATTGTGCATTAGCAGTAAGATGTTAATTCCTTATTTTAAGTTAATAATAAAATTGTAGCAACAACTGGATGTCCAAATAAATAAATAAATATACTGAGAAAAGCTCTACTAGTTTCGAACCACAGAGGGATTCTTCCTCATGAGCAGCGTGCGCGATCGCGGCAACTTCGCGCAGGTCACAAGTAGAGCTTTTCTCAGTACATTTATTTACTGGACAGTTAAAAGATGTCGGATTTGATCTTAGAAACGGTTTTATATTTCAATTCTTTTTTATTTAATAATAATAATAATAGCATGGGACCTGGATTTGTACCCGGTTGGACTGGAATATATTTATCTTATTTTACATAGGATAGGTGTCATGTATTTGCAATATAAAATGCGTGTTAAAAGTATAGTTTTTGTATAAAAATGACGTTATTTCTACGGACCCCATAAAGGAGATCACACTCAAGATCGGTTCCATTGACGTATAAATATTAACGATAGTTGCTTATGGGTCACGAGAGTGGTCTTAAACTCTAACAATGGGGTTTTAACCTAGTTTGAATCTTCGATAATAGTTTTGGAGAGTGTATGGTAGATATGTTAAGTAAAAATTAACATCGACTATGGTTTCCAAGAACTCATGTAATAAAGGGTATATTGTTACACAGCAATCACAATACAGGCTCCGAACTGTGACTAAGAATTTTCTTGAAATAGAGAAGCGAAGAAGCTATTTTGGGTAATTGAACGTATGACCGCTCGATTAACAAAGTCAGTATTTTATAAAAATGAACCTATATTTTATAGAAGTGAACCTGATTGAAAAGGAGTAGGTAACCTATGGAGTTTCTTGCTCGTTCTTCTCCATAGGAATCTACACCTTGGAATGAGCAAATATCTTCACGTTTAATTTTGTTTTTATTGACGTTCAAAAGTGCCATTCTGGCCTAATTAAAATAAATGATTGTAACTTTGACTTTGACTTTAAAATGTATGCTTGTAAAATCATAGGTAAAACTAATTATTCTATTTATAACTTGATTTCAAAAACTAACCTTGAAAGCTATTATCATAAAATTTAACTAACATCCGTATAGAAAATAAGACCAACTGTTTCCAGCAAAAGGTACATAATCCTTTGACCTCTACACGATATTCGGAAATAGTTAGTGTTTATCTTATTTCGCTCAACTTGCTTTTATAGTTTGCCGGTAGTACTTATTATGTAATTTATTCCTTAATTATCTTGTTATAACTGTAGTTGCAATCCCTATTCAAGGGCACAAGTCAACAATTACCAATTACCATCCCTTCCCCAATCTCCCCAATCCCTAAATCCCTAACGATCCTCAAACTCCTAATCCTCAAAAGGCCGGTAACGCACTTGTAACGCCTCTGGTGTTCCAGGTGTCTATGGGCGACGCCAATTGCTTACCATCCGGTGATCCGTCTGCTCGTTTACCGGCTGCCATAAAAATAAAACATCAACAATGTACTTCTATATTTTTTATCATAGATACAACAAAAGCTTCTTGTAATCATAGACTTCTTGGCACTTTGGCGACATGCAAAGAAATCAAATTTGCACATTGTTAATGTACTGTTTTGAACCTGCTAATCTATTTTATTTGATATCATTTATTATCATATTATTTTATATCATTTATTATTTGATATGACTGTTAGTTTTGAATTCTTCAATAACTGAATACATAAGTAACTTCAAAAAAAAAACACAAAATGTTATCAGATTACTATAACAATCGCACAGAATCTATTGACATTCAATTCATACTAGAATCAGTACCAACACGATTCCATTTTAAGGCATCTTATGCTCAATCGATATCAACCGATTATTTACTTATTTTTTTATAATAGATCATTAGTTTGCAACTAACTGTCGTCATATGATCCATGCCATAGAAGGAAGGACTTTTTTATACGAGGTAATCCTCTTAACCATATGGGTGACTGGCATTTGGACCATATGCGGTACATGGTATTAGTGTGGTGTAGTGATATGATAGAATACATTCTAATATAGTTTAATTAGCAGTCACAACCATGTGGCTACTTAAATGAAGCTAGACAAAATCCATTATTATACATCGCTCCGGTCATATATGAAAATGCGCTAACAAAATATGTATTTCGCATTTATAACACATGTTTTCCCCGAACCATCACGCATTTTATCCCCGAAAGGGTAAGCAGAGGTGCACATTACGGCACTTAATGCCACTGTACAATGTAACACCCACTTTTCACTATTTATGTATACTTATCTATGTTATGAGTCCCATGTAATAGGGGGTGAGCCAAATACCAGGAAAAATTATTCCAGATTCCGTGCAACTCACAAAAATGGAACTAGGATTTTTTTAAACTCAATAATTCTTTGCCGGACCCGGTAATCGAACCCGAGGCCCCATGCCCAGCAGTGGCACTTGCGACCATTCGGCCTACTAGGCAGTCAAAAATCACAGGATAATGATATTAATATGTTAATCGTTCGCCATTTCTTTTAGATATTATTGGATAATAACTCAATAGAGCGACTCTATTATCGAACATGAAACCTCAAACACACCCGTTGCACTTACACCCACTTCATTAACAAACCATTCAATAAAATATGCATGTGATGCATGATGCATGTCTACATATGATTCATATACACCATTATGCCACATCCACATAATTATCTTCGAAATTACATCTTAATTACAGTTCCCGCATTACATCATAATTTCCACTATACTTGACCCGCTTTGTAAATGCAGCCGCTTCAGCGCTTCATTGCTGAATGTCACAAATGAGTTCTTAAGCGCTTTGATAACTTTACAAAGGAAAGATATTGTTTGTTTGTGACATGAACGTTGGTAGCAGTTCAAATGGATACTTCAAGTGTTACGATGTTGAACGTTGCTTAATGTCGAAGTTGTAGAAAATAGGACATCCTTTAATGGCTTACGGTGTCACGTGAAACTGTTTATGACAGAATAAACTTCATTTTTTACCATCATCATTCTTTCCGCAGATCGGAAGAACTAGTTAGACTATACATAGACAGAGACCAGCCAGTGCTGTTCTGATGAACATTAGTCCTTTATAGTTACTGCAATCTTTAAACCGCCTGCCAAGCGTATTAGATAATGGTCAACCTTCTTCCGTCTCTCCCCGTCCTCTCTTTTCCGTCTCTTTGACCAAATATTGGTATTACATTGTTTTGCTCATAAAATTGAACTCAACGAAAGAATGTAACCAAAAATTGTACTGTGAACATGATTGAAAAAGAGTAACCTTTGGAGGTTCTTGCTCGTTCTTCTCCATAGGAATCTGTACTTTGGAACGAGAAAATAGCTTCACTAGAGGACTGACCTACAGACTGTCATTTTTTCTTATTATTTAATATTTTGTTTTGACGTTCAAAAGTGCCTTCCTGATCTAATTGAAATAAATGATTTTGAGTTTGACTATGTGGAGGAGTGTTATAGTCCAGTAATGAGTTGTAAATGAAACGTAGTCTCTCATTATATCGTCGCGCTTTCAACCACTTGAACAACGAAACAGTAAAAAACAAATCGTCACACATAAGATACATAAAAAGCTTCAAAGCTTAAGGTTGATTTTCGCTTGGATTATCAAAAAAGAAAAATATTGTCTACGAACCGGGAGAGCTGTCAGGAAAAATTGAATGAAAACATTTGGAAGTGATTGACGAAATATTCGAGACGAACGAATGTTTTGGTTGAACTTTTTTTTTCGGGTTACGCAACACCCTCGCAAATTGAATGTCGGTTTTGTTTTTTTTTTTCTGTCGGCCAGCTATTGATGGGACGATTCGCCTCTTTGGAATGACATTTAATGGATTTATGAATGGATTAGCGATTGAGGATTACGATGATTAATACGGGGTTTCGCGAATCAATTTTGTAGTCTAGGATTTTTCTCTATATCTGATAATTTTATTTAGTTTTGGGTGCTTAGAAGTTAGTAGGAGCTAATAAATATTTCTTTTCCCCAAATTCTGCAATATTGCTTGCTTTTGTCACTTTTCTATCAGATTGATATACTAACACTATTGTAATTTTTTTCTGAATAAAATTATTCATCATCATCATCAACAGCCTATAAATGCCCACTGCTGAGCAAAGCGATCTTCCCACACAGAGAAGGATTGGCGATTACATTACAAACTTAACTATAATTAGAAATTATAAGCCCAGGTTTCCTCACGATGTTTTCCTTCACCGTTCGTCAGACACGTATGCAAAAATAGAATTATGGTTCTACGGAAAAATAGGAGAAGCCATCTTGCCATTTAACTCCAAGCTATTTACAATCAAACATGTTAACAACAAACAACCATAAAATAAACGATCATAGAAAAAACTCTCTCTCTCACTCTCTTTGCTGTTAGTTTATTCTCCGTACCTTATTTTTCGCTGATTTTTAACCGACTTCAAAAAAGGAGGAGGTTATACGTTCGGCCGGTATGTTGCTTTTTCAACTTAAACCCTAAGGTTGACTGGTAGAGAATGCAATATGGCATTAAGTTCGCCTTATGTGCCATAATAAAATTGTGTACATAAAAGTATTAAAAAAAAAACTACCACAAAACTAATTCCTTTTTTCACATAAAATGCATTAATTCTATGGCTAGGAACAACATGCGTGACCACAAACCTCAAGTGTAAAGAGATGTCAAAGTTTTTTATACGTTTCGTAGTAATTAACAATGAAATTTAACACCTAGACTCGGGCAAAACTCAGGTAATATTGTATGCACTTAAAATTCATGTCTGAAGATTGTAAATTAGGTACTTGAAAATAACGAAGTCTGTATAATCAGTTTATGGCTAATTGCACGCGATGTTATGGAAGGTAGAAAGTTAAATTTTCGACGCTATGTTTATACTGTGTAGTTTGTCGTCCAGACAGTCTTTTTGTGGTGTTGGTTCGTCTAAGTGAACTATGTAACTAGAGAATTGTATTGTAAACCTGATTGTAAGAAGAGTAACCTATGGAGATTCTTGCTCGTTCTTCTCCATAGGAATCTACACCTTGGAAAACCTCGGGGGGCCAATAACCTCGGGGGGCCAATAACCTCGGGGGGCCAAACGCCTCCTGCCGGAGGTTATACGCCGGGGTCGTGCGGTCCATGGCCCTCTACGGCGCCCCTGTTTGGGCGCCTAACCTGTTGCGGCGTCCCGCTCGGACGCTGCTCATGGCACAGAGGGTCATGGCGATCCGAATGATCCGCGGATACCGCACGATCTCTGGGGAGTCGGCGAACCTCCTTGCCGGATTACCGCCGTGGGATCTGGAGGCGAAGGTGCTCGCGCGCGTGTACAGCATGCGCGCGGAGGCACGTCGCCGGGGCGAAACTCCGCTGCCGCGCCAGATAAGTGCGTGGCGGGATGAGCTCCGGCGCGATCTCATGGCGGAATGGCAGCAACGACTGTCGCAACCGAGGGCTGGGCTCGCTGCCATCGCAGCGGTAAGTCCCCTCTTTGAGGAGTGGCTTGAGAGACGCTACGGCGTCCTCACCTACCGCCTGACGCAGGTCCTCACCGGACATGGAAGTTTCGGGAGGTACCTGTGTCTGATGGGGCGGGAGGAAACGCCCGGGTGTCATCACTGCGAGGACCGCCCTGAGGACACGGTGGAACACACGGTGGGAGAATGCCCTTCGTGGGCTGAGCACCGCCGTGTCCTCAGGGAAGTGATCGGCGATGGCGACCTCTCGCGTCCGGGCCTAGTGCAGGCCATGATGCGGAGCGAGGGGGATTGGGATGCCGTCTCCTCCTTTTGCGAAGCAGTCATGCTAGCTAAGGAGGAGGCGGGACGCGTGAGGCAGCGAAGCGCTGCCTCCTCGCAACCCAGCCATCGCGAAGGACACACCGGGCGTCGGGGATCGCGGGACGATCTCCGGCCACCGTAAGCGCGGGCCTGCGGACGGCGAGCATGGGTGGCTCCCCGTCCGACCAGAAACAGACCCGAGCGTACGGCGCGTCGCGTTCCGCGCGCGCCTCAAAGAGCCATCAGACCACCACAGATGGGGCCCAATAGGGCCGATGCCGATTCGGAGTCGCGGAGAACCTAACGGGTAACCGGGGCTCCGGCTCGACGTGCAGGAGAAGGAACGGGGTGGTTTTTAGTCAGTAAGAGTCTGACACTCCCTCCCGCCTCACCCAGGCGGGGGCAGTCATTCGATGATTTCCCCCCCTTAAAAAAAAAAAAAAAACACCTTGGAATGAGCAACTAGCTTCACTTCTAAATTTTTGTTGTTGACGTTCTTAAGTGCCATCCTGGTCTAATTGAAATAAATGATTTTTGACTTTAACTTATACAGGGTGTAAACGTAACGCTCCAAAAATACGCCGACTGGTGATAATCAAAAGCTAGTTTTATTTTTATAAACGTAAGGAATTAAATGTGTCTTTCATGTAAATGTCAGTTCAGTGTCAGTTGTAATCAACTGCTCAAGGCTGATATTGTATGAATTACACGAAAACAAAAACAATTAAAATTGTAAAAACTATTTTGCTGTCGGCGTTTTTCGGGCACGTTCATTTTACACTCTGTGTGCTAGTGCTCATTTAAACATAACATAAAGATAACATCACGCCTTTTATCCCCGAAGGCAGGGTAGGCAAAGATGCACATTATGCCACTGTACAATGTAACACCCACTTTTCACTATTTATGTTATGAGTCCCATGTAATAGGGGGTGAGTCTATTGCCATATACCGGGCACAATTCCAGACTCCGTGCTACTACTGAGATTTTTTTTAAAAACCCAGTAATAGTTTGCCCGACCCGGGAATCGAACCCAAGACCCCTTGCCCGGCAGTCGTACTTTCGTCTTTCATCAACACATCCGAGAAATAAATGTCAAGTTAAATAAAGCTTCAACAAAATTGTCAGACTTTTAAACTGGAACTTCTGTTTATGTCCAAAATACTTTATAGGCTTTCCAATTTCACACTCAATTTGTTCGTCGCAAAATTGAGAAGCCATCTACAGGTACTATTACGTAATTTGTACTTAAAGTTTCGTTTTTAAAACTGATTAATGAAATGAAGCGTTTTATCAAACCTCGTGTAGTGATTCCGCGAAGAACCTATCTATTTTCTTTCCAAAAATGGTTATTCTAGTACTTCTAGTAGGTCGCCTACCTATTCCAAAATCTGATTAATTAACATAGCAACCTGAGTTTTGAAATATTTCAGGGTTAGATAGTTAACACATATCTTAAGACACAATTATACAGTTATATTTTTTCTTACCTAGAAGGATCAAAATCAAAAACAGTTTAAGCATTCATTCCGCCTTGGGTGAGGCGAGAAGTAGCGTCAGACTAACTGACTAAAAACCACCCCGTTCCTACTCCTGGTTTGAACCGGCGCCTCGGTAACCTGTTAAGTTATCCGCAGCTTCGGATCGGGCATCAGCCCTGCTGGGCTCGATCTGCGATGGTCTGATAGTTCTTTGACGCACGCGGAATGCAACGCACCGTACGCTCGGGAAAATGCGAGTCTTGTGCCCACTATCTAACATTGAAAGCGCACCATGTAACAGCATAATACCACCAAACGCTAACACATTGTTAAATATTGAATTGAACTTATCTTTGTAATAATTTGATACAAAAACTTAGAACCACATTGACTTTGAAACACAAACCTCCTGATACTAAATCCCGAGCCAAATAACGCAGTTTATTTGAAAAACAGACGACAATTTGGTGTCTTTATATGCCAATAACAGTTGATAACCGTGCCAATTGGCGTCTAACGCGTCTAAGAGGTATCTGATTGTTCCATTGTCGTGGGAAAGGAAATCCTGATAAACGTGAATTTATGGCATACGTGATTTTCTTTTATTCAAATCCACAAAGACAAGGTTTCTAATTTACCAGGTAGCTTTGTAAAGTAGAAATAGTCTGAGTGAGGCTATTGCTAAATGTTTGAATACTACTGCTGATGTTTTTGTCAAATATATCTAAGGCGGTGGAGGAATGCAAATGAAGGAATGATTGAAAGTTAAAAATGTAATAATCCATATTTAAAATGTTTGTTACGTTTA